CTGCTGAACAAAAGGTGCATTTAACCAGAAGCGAACTAGCTACGGGAATACAAATAGACAGTAAAGATTCGGCACCCAGCACCGACGGAAACTCCTGGCGCTAGATGAAGCCAGAAGTACAAACAGCAGTACTGCAGTCATCCAGGAACTGTATACGCAGAGGCAGGCTAAAAAAGAAACCCTTATCAAAAAGAGGATTAGTGGGCAGGACACCAGATTTATTCCGATAAAATGCAGCCAAGACGCAATCTGTCACAGCTCTGGTCTCTCCATCTCTAAAAAAGAGTAATAAATCTCATCTAACTCAAACACAGGGCAACCACCTCCTTGCTTACATGGCTCACGTAACCCTGAGAATACTTTGTCCCACCACTCAAAAAGCTATTTGCTACATTACATTTAAAGCTACCAGTAATTCATGAGAAACCTCCTGCGTACAGCTAGAGGCACTGGGCTGACAGGAGGTAAGCGCCCAGTGCACCCACAGCCCACAACCACACCTCGTCTAGGCAGGTCTGACCATTTCTAACCGAGAGCTGGGCACAGCCTGAGCAGGGCTCCAGCCTGCAGCTGAGCCTTGTGCTTCTGTAACCCATTCAGTGCATACAAAAGCCATTACATTTCTCTTGAGTGTACAGATAACCCTCTATGGTTGGCTGCCCAGGCAGTTTGCAGGTTAGGGGGGCTTCTTTCATCCTTTTCTTCAGGTCTTCCAACTCCTCTCGTGTGCTGGAAAAGTGATTCCTTGTCTGTTAGGAGAAAAAAAAAAAAGAAAGAAAGAGAAGAAATACATCTGAACATCAGGAAAGAGCGAGCTTTGAATGTTCCTAGCCAAAATTTCAGCCTCAGATTTTAGGTGCTCTGGCTGTGGAAGCTGCTCCACAAATTCACAGGAAAATTCAAGCTGTAAGAAAACTAGCCTCTTACAGATCACTGAAGAGACAAGGTTTAACATACTGTACACAGAAATTACGTTGAGGAGTCATGACTGGGAAGAGACCTTTGTTCTTTAAATAACAGAAATACAACACTTCTAAGGCTAGCTGGAGGAAGAAGCACCTGATTTCCTGTTTGCACTTTTATTTAGATAATAGGTGTAGTCTCCTACAAACTTAGGAAACTTTTCCTCACAAAATCATGCTACAAGGATTGGCACGGAATCATTTTTAAACAGACTCGCGTCAACATACAGTGCAAAGTCAAGGCATTTTTTATGGAACGCTACTTAGACTAATTAATAAGTCAGCAGCAAACTCGACTTAGCACGGATTTATAGCTGTTGTTCCACAGAAACGAAGGGCAGCCTTGATACACAGTGAGGGTAAAAGGGACTTTTTTTTATCCCAGAAGTATATCTAGTCAGTAGAGCAGCTCATCAAAGCGTGTAGTAAGCTGATACCATTAACATCAAGACTGGATGCCTTCCTCAAAGTCACGTATCATTTCAACCACATGAAAATGTAATGCAAGACCTTTTGGAAGAATAGTCATGCTTGTTTATGCACAAGGTTAAATGACACAATCCTAATAGCCCCTTCTGTCTGGAATCTGTGATTTCTGAAAAACACTCTAGTAGCACCTGCAGTCTCTCCTCTGCAGGAGAAAAAGAAATAACTTCCTCTCCATCTTCCACAATGGACATGATCAGTCTATTTTACACGGACAAGCCTTCCCACAAGAGGCATTTGAATAAAAATAGGAATAGAAATCACATGCAAAAAAATGTTTGAGCAGAGCAGGAACTTACATTCTGCAGGCTGAGCTGAAGCTGCTGTTTATAAGGAAGGAAATCCTGTGTGAGTTCAACTGTCAGGTTGTTATAAGTAAAGAGGCTGTGGAGAAAAGCCAACACCTGCAAAGGAGGGAAAGGTTATGGATTAAACTTTTCTTTTAAATTTCTAATCAGAGGAAAGACAGGCATGAAGCAGGGTTTCAAAAATTATATACAAAACTGTCTGTTTTTCTTACAATTTTGGAGGTGAGCGATATGAATTTTAGTATGACTTATTGACCATAACGCCCCCTAAAGCCCTGGTCTATCTCCCACAAATACACTATCATCTGCCTTAGTAAAACACTACCTGAAACGAAAGGCCCTAGTGGGGGAACAAGAGCAGACTTCTGGATAGCTTATCCAGGAGCTCTTTTTGCTCCCATGCTTAACGGCATACAATGCCAGGGCAGAGCCATTCCCTCTGCAGTGCAGTGCAGAGATTCACAGGCTCCTTTTACACCATCATGAGCTGGAACCACTATAACCTTGGCCCTGACAGATGAGCAGACCAGATAGCAGCTGTCTGCCTTTGAAAACAGCTACTGCTCACCAAATGCAAGGTGTCCAGGATAATTCATACTAACACCTGTAGCTACCTACAGCGTCTGGCCTGTTCCTCAGGATCGACTTACAGAGATGAGAAACAAGTCTGTAGCTTCGTGGTGCTCCATGAAGCACCACTAAAGGTTGTTAAGAAGCAGTAATCCAACCTGGTAGCTCATCCCTTCCCGCTACTGTCAGCAAGTCGATATATCTGAGTATGAAACAATAAGAACTGAAAGAAAAGGAACTCCTACCGGCTCAACAATACTGAATTTCTTGCTTTCTTGTACTTCCTGGATCTGGTACACATACTCAAGGGAGGACTCAAAGAAATTGTGTCTCTCTTTGTCAACCTGGAGGTCAGCCTGGAAAAAAAAATGGAGAGGTGGAGAAAAAAACAAAAATCACATCTAGCTTGACAATCTTTGACTAGTATCTGTCCATCAGCCCCAAAATAGTTCTGTCCTCACTTCAGAAAAAGCCTGCCCAATCTGTCAAACACAGGTTTTGAACTCTCCACGCAGAACAAAAAGACTGGAACATTGGCTATTTTTCTCAGATCTATCCTTTTCTCACTCTTTTTCATTTACAAATTCAGAACTTCACGCCATTCTGCAAGGACTCGGCTTTCCTTAAAGGTGTTTGCAATTTTTTTTTAATTAAAAAGTATCAAACAAAAGTTTAAGCTCCTCTACCTTCTCCCAACAACCCTGCACAGGTGAAGACAAGGCCAGTGTCACGATCCTCTCGCCTCCTCCTGCTGTGACCTGACACCAGCACTTCCAGATCCACATGACTAAGCAAGACAACGTGGCATGCTATGTTACTACAAGCTACATAAATTTTGCCTTGCAAAGATGCTTGTAACTTGATCTGACAACTGATTTCACAGGTCTGCTTTGATCCAGCTCCTCTCTGATGTGGGCTCGAGTGGCTGGGGCTCTCCTTTGCAGTTGCAAAATGTTCAGTGGCAGTACCAGCTCAAAGGGCACCATCCTGCCTCTCCCTGCTGTGCACGGCTACTTTGGGCCTGCTGCCACAACCATCCTTGCGAGCACTGGGAGCTAGGTAGGCTACAATAACAACAACCAGTTATTTGCCAGCCAGATCAGATCCCCAAGTCAGTCCTCAGCACGGCCAACCCCAAGGCATGCCAGTAAAACTGGTCACTGTCTTTCTATATTGTAAGGATGAGAATAGGTGCTGGGGGAAAGGAAGACAATATGTTAAGTCTGTATTGCTGCTCAATACTATGGTGTGAACTACCACCTCTATATCCCTGGTCTCAGCCATGTGAATAGGCTTTAGGTAGAGCCACTTTCACCACTTTCAACCAGGTACTGAAACTTTCCCTGCTGTTTTTTAAAATCTAGAGCAGCCAATATTGTTGCTGCTGGACCCCACTCTGAAGAAAATTCCACACACACCTCTTGTAGTTGGGATTCCTTCTTTTTAGAAGACAAATGCAAATGGCGATCCAACATGGAATAAAACTTCTCACCGTCCTTCTCAAACTTCTTCTTCCTTTCCTGTAGATGAACCAGTTGAAACAGAACCAATTATTGGCTTCTTTGAGATAAGAACAATGAGGCAATGCCAAGATCTTACGTAATTCAGTATTCCCATGGAAAAATTATGGTGGAGCCATCAAAACAGGAGACCATTTTTCATTTGCTGTGCTTTCACCAGTCAGTTTCTTACACTGAGATTCAGTTTCTCTTAGAGAGCGAGTTCTAGCAATACTTCATGGCACGGAACTCTATAAATACTTCCTCCTATCACCACTGTGGCACAAGCCCTACCGAAGAGGTACTGTTCTACCTCTCAACCTCTTCAATGTCAGGTAAACTTGACATATACTAAAGCGTGAATACAATAGTCATCATTTGCTAATGTGCTGCTCACATAGTTCAAAAATAACTGGGTAAATAATTTAATGCTACAGACATGGGCAGGATAAGAAAAGATTTATTAGGAGTTTGGCAATTTTTCTGTTTTGAAACTTTTGTCATTTGTTTCTGAAATGTACTGGAATGAAAGTAAAAGACTACAAGGGTGATACACGGGAAGAAACTCATCATCTCTTTATTAGCAGTGGTGAAAACAGAGAATGAAACAGTAACAGAAAACCCAGGGAGAAGCTGAGCTCACAACTTTCCCACTTTGCTTATCCTTACAACGGTTCACAGAAGACTACGGCAATCAGGAAACTCTCATCCATAGAAGCCAAGTAGGCAAATACTCCTGATAGAGGATAACTGAGCCATCAGTGATTGCTGAGAGTTGGTCCTCCAGCCAGAGAGCAGCCTCAATACCAGCTCCAAGCAGCTGAGAATGAGCGCATACATATTATAGGGTATGTATAGGATACCAAAGCCCAGTGTTTAGCTTCTGAAAGCTCAAGCAAGTGGAACACAGAGCTAAGAAGTCCCAATATATTGTGGAGTTAACGACATCTTCTAATAAGTATCTCCTAAAAGCCCTGCAACCCTGTTCCCTTGTTCCCACCCCTTCAGAAGAAAACACTGGCCTATTGCTTGTGTTCACAGAAGAACATTTTACCTGACCTGAGGCCTCTAAGAGTGGACTATTCATATCAAATGATAGGCTAGCTGTCCAACGCAAAGATTTCTCTGCTGCCACGATCAGTGCGTGAAAAACATAGAAGGCACTCTTCCCAGTCTGCCCTTGCAACATGACTGCAATGTTGAACCTGCCGCACAGCAATAAGCTACAGGGTGAAGTGAGGGGACGTCGATAGCTGAATGTCTTTGCCAGATTTGAAGAGGCAGAGGTGAAGCTGGAGAAGCCTGTGGATAAGAAATCCTTGCTCTCAATGTTCAGTGAACTAGGCTGAGGATATCCAGCCGCTGATAGCAAGCGGTGGAAAGGCAGCTCTGTTCTTACTGATGGTACAAGCCATCACGTGTCTACACTTTAAAAACTAACAATAAATGTAACAGGGAACCTAAATTCTATGTTGCATGGAGCTGCCAACACCATCAAACATCACAGAAATTTCCAAATAAGCAAACACACACCAAAAACACTAAAAAAAGCAGACCAGGTGGAATTAGTAGACTATTAGATACTGGTTAATTTGATAATGAATTCAATAATGACTGCAAAGTTTGAGCCTGTGTTTCTGAAATAAGGTCTTTTCTGTTTCTTCAGTTAGTTCTCCTTCTGTAAAGTTTCATTTCCCTGTTCCACTTCCATGGATTATTTAGTCTGTCTAACAGGATCTTCTACACAGCAGGACGTTGAGGAGGAAGCTCTCAAAACTTGCAGTTTGGCTCAGCAAAGTTAGTGCTTGCTAACCTTCAGTTTTCTTCTTAGCTCTGAGAGATAGGAGTAGGCAATGAAGGGTACAGAGGACAGCCAGCTGGTCCCAGCAGCTTCAGAGGTTCAATTCTGGGGCATAAAGAAAGAGAGGCCACCAAAGGACAGCTGGATAGCTAGGGACGAAGGCTTTGAGAAAGATGCTCTCTTCAAATATCAATAGCTTTCAATACTCCCGGAAAGCACATTCATAGTGGCTACTGTTGCATTTCCTCTGGAAGAAGAAAGGTTATTTTCCAGTGGGCACACACAGGGAGACACTTGCAGTATACAAAGTTTGTACAGTTTGGGAGGGCCAACACACACAATTCCCCATGTTATCCGACTTGGATAGCACCCATCAGAAAACGGCAGAGGCACTCAAATTTAACAGCTAGATCAGATCTCCACCCGGCAATAGCTATTTCAGCCTTTTCTGGACGAGCAACTGATCCCCACGAGTACTCTAGCTCGTGTCAGTGGGCACTGGTTCCTTAGAAGAACCTTGGACAACGGGTGGACTAGTGTTACTACAGGCTGCCTTGCTATGGAAAGTATTTCTGACCCCACAAAAAGGCTGTTTCTGTTATCTTTGCCCATTGCTATTGTCAGAGGACAATTACTTTAGAAAAACGCAGTAACGCTTGCGGAGGCATGCTAATAACCCTTCTATTCAGCTGCTTGTATTTAACTGTCAAGAGTAGGGCAGGCTTTGACCAGCAAACCTATTTGCCCTGGTAATCACAATCACTGCGCTGCAGAGACGCTGTAGCAATAAGATCCCTAAACATGAATAAGTAAGTATATTTTCTGGTGTCATCCTTTGCAGTAGCAGGGCTGCTGTAACTCCATGTTAGCAAATTCATGTCTCAGAATAGAGACCCAGACATCAAATCCAGAAGAGAAAAGAGTCCTCCGAGAGTGAAACCTAATTTAAGAAGCTGAAGAACTGATGCCAGGAAGATGTCAAAACAAAACAAAACCCTCGTGACTATCACCGGTGATGAGCAAATCCAAACCCAGAGAAGCAAAAAGCGTTTACAAAGGAGCAATTACCGTTTCTATAAAGTCACATTTTAATTGCCTCTCTGTGCCATTAGATGCCACATGTAACAAAGCCAGGAACCTAATCATAGTTTCATGTTTACATCAAGGAGTCACAAAACCACAAGGCTTTTTGTACTACGTGCCATGGAAATGTATTAAAACAAAGCTGCACGGGGAGCCAGCTATGACTGAAGCAGCATTACAGGTTTGCACTTTACATCCTCCTTCCTGCCTGTTTGTCACACATAAAAGAGGATGCTTACAGCATGTCAGCAAGTCCTGAAATCCTCTGGTGAGGAAAAAGCTGGCTCCAAAAAACAAACAAACAAAAGCCCAACTATCCCCACAGAAACGACAGGGAAAGTTGGTTTCTTTCAACACGGCATGAGAAGACCCCAGGCCTACTCCTTAAGAAAATACAGACTAGCAGCTAAGGGGTCAGAAAGAGCTCAGGACTCAAGATCTCCCTGTGCTCACAGCGTGGCTTCAGGAAGTCCTGCCCTTCTACATGGGCAAGTGTCACATGCAGCAAATGAGCAGGGAGTCCCTCGTTTTGCTAGAAGGAAGCTGCCGGGGACTCAGTCATCCCATGCCGTGGAGCTGTCACGAGGGATGTCTGCCACACGAGTCCCAGACAGACGTGAATCTCCTTAACACTCTGCTATCTATTCTCATGCTGGAAATCTGTCTTTTTGCCCAGAAGGCTGTGTGGAAAGTGAAAACTGAGGGAACATAAGGCAGTTGCTGAACCTGCCAACTCACTGCAACTGCCCACAGTGAAACATCTGAGGAGCCTGTGCTTACACATAAGAGAGAGATGACAGCAAGGCAGGGGCAGACATGCATCACGGGACATGACCATCTGGAATAACGTGGCTCCCTCCCATTTGACTCGCAGTGAGCTGAGCACATCTCGTCCTCAGGAGAAGCAGACATGGGTTTGGACGGCAACGATACCATTGCAGATGCTGTGAAACCAGGCTCCCCGTGGCCACGGAGGACACCACGAGCTACCGACCCCTTGGCCTTCAGCCACCAGCTCACAGGTGGGCAGCCCTCTCCTGGAGAGCATGGCCTGCCTTTTCTGTGGTAGAGCATTAGCTCTATAATTAAAAAGACAGAATTGGGGGGGAAAAAAAGGCTCGAGGGAACAATGGAAGAACTTGTTCTTTACCAGGAACTCAGAGGCTGGAGACAGGAAAACCTTTGGAAACAGCTTTCTTCTCTGGCAGAGCAGCCAGCGCGCAGGCTGGGGATGCTCCATCAGACGCAGGGAAGGGAAGAGGACGAGCTCTTCACAGCGGCTTGAGAGGATCAGGAAAAACTACTGATGCAAACATCATATATACAGAGCACAGATCGCTTATACAAAATAATTGGTGCCACATGGAAAGGAATGCAGCACAAAACAATTTCTGGCAACTAAATAGGGGGTCTGCCAATCATTTTGCACTCTGCCTAATTAACATATAACTGAAAAGTAGAAGGATGAACTACAAATCCCTCCTGATATTGGAGCCAAGGTTTCTAAGAGCTTGCTGGCTGCAGAACAGAGCAAGATGGGGGGGGGGGGGGGGAACAGACTGAAGCACAAACTGCAAACACAAGTGCAAATCAGTTCCTCATGAATATTCAGCAAAGGACAGCATTACCTTCCCATTAAGATCTGCCAATGTTCAAGTCCAAGAAGCCACCCAACTCTCATTTACTCATTCACAAAGAGAAACTAAGGGGACTGTAACCGAATGCAAACAGAGGAGCACAGCCAGCATACATTTATACACACCAACAAAGGAGGGTGCTCTTCGAAAGCTTCACTCTCTAAGCTTCAGCAGATGCCAGTTTAATCAGAAAGGAATAGGAGTCCTAGAAATGGCATAAGCTGCCTAGTCTGTCAATGCAACAGCAACTTTGGGTAACTGCAGCTGAAAGTCTACAGTGTGCTTGGCCTTCCCTTGCATATCACCTGCCACTGGTGAGAGCTGGAACAGAAGCCAGGCCCCTTGGAAAGCGGCTCAGTTCCCAGTTTGAGCTGAGAGATGAAGCAGTCAAGGACTAGGGAGTGAGAGGGGGCAAAGTGACTTGCACAAAACTTTCTCTTAATTGCTAATTAGGATCCTCTGAAATTCCCATCCTAGAAGAAGCAGAATGACCCAGTTAAGTCTAGCTCAAGTGGCTATTTTTGTTCTGAAGGAAAAGACAAAACAAAACAAAACATATTTTGCCTGCTAGGAGCCTCTTCAGACTCCAAACATATTGCAGGGATTTAGACAAGTCATAGAAAACAGCAACAATCCAAAGGATGTGTTGCTCGCAGAGGTAGCTGAAGAAGGAGCCCTGTGGAGGATCCCAGCGATGCCCTGCGGAGGCTCTCTGTGCTGGCACGCACCACGTCACAGAAGAGACTCCATTCATCGGCCAGGAAAATGGGTCAGTGCAGACTCAGATGTCTTACTCAGACGATCTGGCTTCTTTCCAGCCAGAGTCATCACAAAGATCCAATTGAAATGTTCTTCCTATTTGGCTTCAGCAACTTGCAAAAAGAACAGAAAACATCTTATAGAAGGCAACTCTGGCAAAATATGGGAAAGAGGGTACAAATTCTCCATACCATGTCTCTGATCTGCATGACAGCCTGGCCCTGGCCCCTCTCACCCTGGTGTAAATCAGGAACAACTTTACTCATGTCATGCAAATCAACAGGGCAAGGCAGAAGTGGAGTCAGTCAGACCCCTTGCTAATTGTGCACTGTGGTGATCAGTCCTCATTTGTATTTCATGCCTTCTGCTATCACGGATGCAAATGACCTGGAGAAATTCTGTAAGTTGGCAAATGAATGAATGTCTTTGTGACTGAGTCAATACTCGGAGAATTCAGCCCAGCTTGTAGGATTTGGACCAGTAGGTATAAATACAGGCTTTAGTCAGGGAAGCATCGGAAGCAAGGGCAAGGGTTTGGAACTGGCTCAAATGCGCCTGGAAGCATTCACACCCATTCAAGGTTTCAGAACAGCACTGGAGAGGAAGTTGTACATTCACTGTGCAGTCTTCTATCTCATTGTATCAGTTATCTTCTATCACATTTCAGTGTGTGCATCTATAAATGTGGTGGAGTGCAAAACATTCTTCTGCATCCTCCTGGATGAGCGCTTTTGCTAATCCATGCTGGACCCCTCTGCTGACTGAAGTGCTCCCCAACACCTTTGCAATTCATGTTCTTCATAAGAAAAAAGAAAAAAATAAAAAAGATCTCCAAGAAGCCTACAGTCAGATCCTACTCTCCACTACCTCTGTTTTAACTGCTTCCAAAAAGCCGACTGCAAGTTCATTGACTGATAATCTCCACCAGAAGTACCTTATCCTGTCAACAGATGCTGAGGGAGGACTGTAGGTTTCTAAGTGAATCTATGCCCTTGCAATCAAGTCAGTGCTCAGAGCTTTCAGGCTGCCCAGGGCTACGGACACCAACTGTGCTAAGAAAAGCGCCTAGAAGCTGGGGTATCGGCAGGCTCTAACACCGGTTGCTTGTTATTCCACCCAAAGGCGGGAGGTAGGCATGGCTCTCCGAGGAGAGAGCTCTAGTTTGCAGAAAAACGAATCCTTACAGACTTTAAGGGCTAGCTCAAGAAGAAAACAGCCTGAAGGACATTTGCATGTTGTCATCTTAACAATTGCAGACCATTGCCCTCTTGACTTAAGTGTTCTATAAACACGGAGTGGAAAACAAAAGCTTGACCTTGTCCCCATGACTCTTACCTAAATGTTTGTTGGTTGTATTCTTAATACAGACAGATCAATCAGGAGGGAGTTTTTGTGTCTGCCCTGGGCATGTGCGCTGTGTTTGCAGCACAGGTGCCTGCAAACCAGCTGGCTCACAGGTGAGGCTGCTTCATTCTGTGCCTGGTTCAGGAAATGAGCAGTCAGTGCTTTGCAAATGCAAAACCATTTACAGTGGTCTACTGCCGTCACGGCATTCGCAGCGCTATGGTTTTTTAGAGATACGTTTTACATCACCGTTGTATAGGGGAATTTTGAAGGGAGGGCTGGTGATCAAATATCGTTTCTTCAATCCAGTATTTATTAAATGTCAAAGGCTCCAGATGGGATGGGCTGAATCCAAGCTCTAAGTGTTCTCCAAAACATCTCCATTTCTGAGCTGTTTCAGAGCCAGGCCCATTTCAAGCTGCCACTGAGTAACGTGGAACCTTGACTTTTCGATAGCAGACAAGAGAAAAATAATCTTTTCTGCTCTACATGTGCAGGACTTGCTTTTTATAGTTTGCTGCTTCAAAAGTTTGGTCCAGGCTTCCTAGAAACTTTATTCAGATATTTCATAACACAAGCACTAAGACTATAATCAAGTCCTGATTACTGGCCCCTACAACTCTTTCCCCCTCTCACTCCAACATACATTTGTCAGGGAAAAGTATTTTATTCTCAAGTTAGATAAGCATAACGTTAAATGAACAAGGGAGAAAAGAGAAAAAGAAGCAAGGAGTATCTCTTGACCACTTGCAGAAACAAGCATTACTTTCTCAGGAAAGAGACAGAGCTGGAATTATACCAGAACAGAACCCAAAGAATTAAGGGAAAGGTTTTAGAGCGCCTCATGATTAAAAAATCAGACTAAAAGTCACAGCTCCGACACTTTCAGTGCAGCGGCTGAACGCTAGCATTGGATGGGGAAGGTTTTGAAAGCATGAAGCCTAAATGCAGTACAACACTCGTGTACTTTTTAAAAACAACAAAAACACAGGAGAAAATCTATATACAGCAATAGAATTGAAAAAATCAAAGAAATATTTACCTTGGTGAACCCTATTTGCTCCTTCCGAAAATTTTCCAAAGGTTTGATCAGCAAATCACTAGCGTTTTGCACCTGCAGCACAGAGAAGGAATCAGTTTAACTACTGGACATGCAATCATTTTCCTCCTAAATAGAGGCAGACTAGGACTAAAAGCCAAGCCTCTTAAATTGTTACGTCACTTTAGCTGCAAATTTAGTCTCTCTCATTAGATGAAGTCACTTAACTTGTCTGTATCTTCTTCTTCCCATTTGTAATACAGGGAAAACATTCCCCATTACATGAGGCTTTGAGGACATCTTGTAAGTAAGAGAATGGCCAGAGTTACTAGTGGGCTCCCCCCAACCCCTCATCTTCATTTGTACAACTGCAAGGTGAGCCAAATCCCTCTGCCTAAAACGCTGCGTTGCTCCCCTAAAATCCCTGGTACTAACCTATGTGACCAGCGGTCCCCACCCACAGTTCCTGCCTGCGTCACATCACACAGCATGCACGCAGCCAAGGAAGGCTCTGCCTCTGCTGGACCTTGCCAACTGAAGCACTACAATAAAGCTAGCAGCAAACCCTCAAACCTTACAGTAAGCGCTTTCGTTGCACAGGGTGGTATCTGAGTTGCAGTGCTTGTGTTTCTGCTAGCGCTCTGGAGTTAGCCCTCTTGCAAGGACAGATGACACCGCTGGTGCGCCACGCTCCTCATCACCACTGTGCTACACGCGGGCCTCACGGCTGCCTGAAGAATCCCCTTACCTGCCGCCTACAGCGAATGTATCTGTCGTTCATCCTCTTTCAGGAGGACAGTTACCATAACTGACATGGGAAGGGCTAACAGGAATAGGATATTCAAAGTATGCAGGCCGCTGTGTGAGCACTAACTAGAAGTGCCCCCAAGGAGGCAAGGCTCTTTGTTTATCTCTGAGAAGCACAAAGTAGAACAGATATTTTGAAAATGCTCTGGAGACTGCTACTTACTTTTTACCTCAGTTGGGTCCCAGGCTACAAAGAATTATCCTGCCTGATCTAACAGGAAGGAACTGAGTAGCAGAAAGATGCATTTCAGCAGCTGTTTCCCTTCTGCCTCTGCTGCTGGCTCCTCTGCTCGGGACAACTCTGCTGTGCTCCCTGCACTGCCACTGCTTTCCATGATAGCCCCCACCCTTTCTTTAATGCAAAGCCATAACAGGCGAATAGGATCCCAGAGCCAGGAACGGGATCAGTTCCTAGCATTTCCAAGTGAGGACAGCAGACACTCATGCATAGTGAATACACTCCTAGAAAGCAACGGCAACAATCCTGAAATGAGCTGCTTTGCAAAGCTAAACAACCCATAAGAATTCATGCCTAGGATCTCAACTCAGCATGGCCCCAAACTGTGTAAGCTGTTTCTCAGAGATGAAGCATCATGAACATCCCAAGCTCACACGCAAAAAGGAAGGGCTGGGGGAAGGCTGGAGGCTGGTCCCTTTGGCATGACTTTCCATAACCTATCTCGGAATCTGCCGCTTCTGACAACAGAAAGTAAAGGGCTTGATGACTCTAAAATAAATGAAAGACTTTCCTTTTACTGAGATACTCAGAAGAGGAATGACAGCAGGCTATTGATGCAGTAAAACTGCTGTGAACCAAGGCTGCTGCACAAAATAGCTAACGAAAGAGGAAAGTCTGCTCTTGCCTCTTCCGACGCCATAAGATGCCTGAAGGACATTTTCCTCAGTCATACCCTGTGCTCTTTCTCAGAGACCCCACAGGCAATCCTTCCCCTCCGTTTCCCTTACTGGCTCCAGCTCAACCCTGGCCTGGGACTTGACCTTGCTCTCTCTCCCCGTCCCAGTTTCCATTACGAAAGGGTTCTCTCCACGCTTCAGAGAAGGGGAAGAGAAGGGGAGACACACAGTGTAGTGTAGACGCACACTACCCTGTCACAGTCCTATCAGGATAGCGGGTAATTTAAAGCTGATGAACATGGTAAGAGTGTAAAAGTGTCTGACAGAAGAAAAGAGCCTAGAATTTATGCATGGCTTGTTTATTTTAATGGAAGATCTACTGTAAAGAGATTGGTCTTGCAAACGGAGGGCAGAAGAAAGGTGCTATTGTACTGGGATGTAATTAATACAGAACCACCTTACTGCTTTCCTCCAGCCTCTTACTGGTTTCCTCTCACTGCCTTGTTTGTGCGTGGACCCACACAGAGCACAACGCAGGCAGGTGTAGCTGTCCCTACCGCTCTGGCTCAGCCAAACAGCCTAGCAGGGGCTCTTTCATTGCTGTATTAAGGCAGAAGAAAGCAGAGCCAAGCAGCAAACTCCTGGCATGCTGTAAAAGGTCTCTACCGAGTCTAACCTTCATGTTTTTCCTGGAATTAAGAGTGAAACGGCAAGCCAACATTCACTATGTATCGAGGAGTTTTGGAGACAAAGAGGGCACAATGTAATGGGAGACAGAAGGGAGTGAATCGCTCTGCAGGAACTGCATGCCAGGAAGGGCAGGAACACAGAGGAACAACTGCTCACTCGCACAGAAAAAAAAATGAAGATAAAAACACGTTACTTCAGATTTTTCAACATTTTGTTTCCCCACAAAAGCAGTTTGTTACCAGCTAGCACACACCTGACTCTGCAGATCAAACCAGCCACGGAGGGAACCCGTTGCAGATTGTGGGGGTCCCTCAGGGGAGCCCCACCATTACTGGGACCCTACCAGTGAAACGACTGCCTGACATGTGGGAGAGGTCTTGGATGCTCACATGGGACAATCCCTCCCCTTCCCCTTCCAGCACCTTCGCCTGGGCTGTTCAAGGCATCCTGCGATCACACAGTAGATCAGATGTGATATAACGCACAATGTCTGCAGTGCTCCCAGCTTCCAGATGATGAAAATCGTGTTATAAAGTTACTTGGTACATTCTGTCTATGATTTAGCATTTAAACATTATAACTAGACATTCATGACCAGAGCACAGTTAAGATCATCTTACCATCATTGATCTCTCAAGTTCTACCTCTTGGAGCAACTCTGCAAACTCCTTAAAGGATTCAGCTATGAAGAGAAGAAAAAGTTAAATCAGTGAGGAACTTGACAGTTCAGCATTGAACCTGGCTGATACACCAAGAATAGCTTCCAAGTGCAGCTATTCGAGAGCCATGTGTTTCTGCTGCAACTGGGCTAGATATTTCCACAACTTGTCTTTAGCAGGCATTCCCTTGTTTTCATCCCCTGTACAAAACAAAATCATGTTTGAAATCTGTATTTTTGGCTTAGGCAGCACGCTGAAAGATTGGTACTCTCATGAAAGGAGCTTCACAAACTATAAAAACTTGCAGCAACTGAGATGCACTTTGCAGGCCCTCTGCTCACCCCACCACAAGGTCAGCATGCTGAATTAACCCCATCAGATTGCTAACCACAGAAACGCTGTTTTAAAAACCTGCCATGCAAGGAGAGTAAGTGGCACCTTTTGGCGGAGACGGAGTTAGAAAGCACAGATTTCACTAGCCACTGGAAAAGCAGCACGAGTCTGATCTTTAAACGGCTATAGCAAAGTCACAATTAAAGGCTGGCTGTCAGAGGGGTTTATTTACTTAAGGGAAATTCAGCCTACATACCCCGAGCAATAAGGGAGCTACGGTATAAGTGCTGAGGAGGGAAGATGACACTAATTAGTCGTTGTTATGAATGATAACAGGCAGGCCTGGCCACTTCGATGTCCGTGTTCAGAGGCGACAGCGATGTTTATCCCTTCCTTCCAAAAAGCCACGTAGGCAACTCAACAGAAGTGACGAGGGGGTATCAACGCCCTCCCAGCAGAGCGGGAAGCCTCCAGGACGGGTTGCGCTGGCTTCCTCGCTGCAGAAGGAGCCGAGAGGCGGCAAAGAAGTCAGCCCGAAACACCTCGCGCCTGGCACGACCTGGCGCGGGACTTAGCAAAACGAGGAAAAAGGGGCTGGGGGAGAGGAAGAGAGGGACAGGCAGCGCCGGGGAGGGGGGAAGCAGGGCTGGGCCAGCCTCACCGCAATCGGCGCGAACGCAGTGAGATCTGAGAATGTTTCACAGTCCGGTGGGTTCAGATTTGCCCTTCAGCTTGGATTCTCAGTACTGACGTCTCTCCAGTCCAAGAGAGACATGGCACTACTGGACAGAGTCCAGCGGAGGGCTACGAAGAGGATGAGGGGACTGGAGCACCTCTCCTATGAAGAAAGACTGCAAGAGCTGGGCCTGTTCGGCCTGGAGAAGAGAAGACTGAGAGGGTGATCTTATCAACGTGTCCAAGTATCTGAAGGGAGAGTGTCAAGAGGATGAGGCCAGTCTCTTCTCCGTGGTGCCCAGCGACAGGACAAGAGGCAACGGGCAGAAA